CATCAGATGCTGCATGAGCGAAACAAAGAAATGAAAGAAGAATAAGCATCAAAGAAAGAAGTTATTAGTTTTATTAGTTTTCTTTTAGTTATTGACATTTTTAGTTTGTAAGAAAAAACAATCACCAGACATGCCCAATATAATTAATTGTCTAAACATTGAAATGTATTTAATAAATTTGGTTTGACTCATTTTTCTTTTTTATTATTGACTTGTAATAGTACTTTTATTAAATATGGTTTTTGAGGAAAATAAAAAAAGTATTGTAAAGGATATGTACAAATTCATTTATTTCTGTTAAGCAACTCTTCGGGTAATGAAATGATGCGAGCAAGTCGTGAATTAGATGGAAGAAATAAATATATATCATCTCCCATTGAGGGTAAAATCCATTGTAAACAATTGGCAAAATATGTTTTTATTGATGGCGTTAGATATACATTTGGTGTTAGATTTGATGTTTCATCAAATGGATTTTCTATAGTTAACATACAAGGCCTTTTTGAGTCAAGCCATCCCCGAGAGGCTTTTTCGAAATATGAACATTCAACACCAACGCTTATTCCATATTTTGAGTAATTAAAGTCATAACCAAAATGTTGAAGAAAAGTGATAAACACACTACCTATATCGTTATCTGGAACACCACCAGTAATATTTCCAGTATTATACATTTCTAGAAATGAATATACAAGTAGAGTTATCATAAATGTATTTAATCCACCACTCATAACTGATGTAAATCCTGCTTGATGTAATAAATATCGAATAAGAATAACAAGAGGTCTTAACATTGAGTTTTTATGACATAACCTTCCTATAAGTTTTGTAGTTTCAATTCCATTTTGGTTATCAATTGAGATATCTATATTAATTTCATCTTGAATTCCTTTCATTTTTAATAATGGAATTCGTGCTAAAGGAAGTGATAATACTTCATTACATATACAAGCATTTGCCAATGCATCAGATATAAATTGAAAAGCTATTGTAGAGTTAATATTAATAAAATCACCACTTAGAGATATATCAATATCGCTAAATGGTAATGCTAAATTTGATTTTTCACTTCCATATAATGTTACACATGATGGTGTTTGTGGTGAAACAAAACTTACTTTTGGTTTTCCATTCTTACTAATTATTTTTAAAGAGTCTATAACTTTTGTTACTTGTTTAATTAGTTGTTTTCTTTTATCTTTTTCTGAAGGATTAAGTTGAATAAATTTAATGAAATGAATAATGTCACTTCCTAATGATATTTTGTGATTAACAGGAATTTGCATAAGCCAAGGTGGTGTTGATCCTAATAGTGGGGATGGTAATTCACGAAAACGACCAAAAGCATAATCATTGATTTGAGGTGTTATTGGAATAAACATTAACAAATGATTTTTATTGGAAAATTTTGTTTTTCTTTTTTTTTTAAGTTACTTTTTTTAATATTCCTTATTAGAAAGTGGTGGCATCTTTTCTTTCTTTCATTGGAGTTTTATATCTTCTTTACTTTATCCATATGTTTGTCATTCGAAAAAAAAAAACATATAGACCAATTCATATTAATATAAGGGAACTTCAAACTTAAAGTTATGAAAATGAAAGATAAGTAACTCATTTTTTGAAACAATGAAATTAAACGATGCATAACCAGAATATCACCCCCAAAAGTTTAAAACAATATAAGCCTTTACACGACTGGATTAAGCAACATGAATTTACTGATCTTAAATTTGACATAAAGAAACACCTTCCCACAAAGGATGAAGATATTAAAAAACCTTATAACCATTCAGAAACAACCACATTTAAGTCTGATATGTATCTTGATGTCATTGATGTTGTGTGGATGTGGGTAAATGGGATTGACCCACAATGGTTAGGTAATACTATTAAATACAATATTAGTATGGAGTACAACAGATAGAGAGAATTAAATACATTAATATATCTAGTGAAAAGTGTTTGTATGTACAATCCTTATATTAAACATATTACATCATCATATAAAATCAAATTCCTTCATGGTTTGGTTTAATTTGTTATATACTAATAACGACAGTTATAATTTTCAAATAATTAGACACTGACTTATTTCCAGAACAAAGTGAATTACCTACATTTAATTCAAACTCACTAGAAACAGTTATTCATCTAATATATCGTCATTACCAAATGTTTTCTTTATTTAAATGATGGCATGTTTATTAATTCATATACAAAATTTTCACGACGAATGCCATTAATAAATAAACTAAAGCCAAATCATGCCTCATGAAAAGTTCCTTTTAAAGAGAGGATGACAATAAATAACTAGGATAAAACACTTACCTAAACTAATGATTTGACAAACAAAAAAAAATATTTTCAAGGAAAAGAAAAAACCAGGGATTGTTCTTTACACAATTGTTTCTTCCTAAGAAAAGACTTTTTAAACGAAATTGAAGAGGTATGGTTCAAGAATAGTATTAACTCGGTTTCATAAATTTAGAGAAGGCAATGCCATTGCAATTTCATTTTTACATATTTTGATGAGTGTTTTTAACGCCAAGTCAGGAGAATTAAAGAAACAAAGAGTTATTATTATAACGTTTGAAAAACAAGTAATTCTTCAACCAACAAAGTGTTAAAAGTATCATTTCTTTAAAGCCAACATGTTTTTGTATTAACGATGAGTCAGATATACGTTTTCATTCTAAAATACTGTGTGGTGTTAATTATTTAACAAAAACAGTTTAATGACTTTATCCCTATCCAACTCCATTTGAACTTCACAAATATTCGTTTTTATTCACAATAAACTTTCATTTATTTTATTAGATGATTGTATTAAGCAAAATGGTATAAAGTCAAATAACCAGCACATTTGAAAACTAACACAAACAAATTCTTATGAAAGAAATTAAAGTTATTAAAAACCCAATAACAATATATTATTTTAATCCATTAATTGAATAATAACCAAAAACATCAATATTGGGAACAAAAGACCTAATAAAAGTTTTCCCCAGAATTTTATTAGAGGAAGGTTGTCTTGAAAAGTTGTTGATTGTTCATTTTTGGTTGGTTGATTTTTGTTCTTATTAACTCGTATGATTTGATTTAGTAAAACTCGGCTCTTACAAACTGGACAATTTGGTACTCTTGACAACCATTCTTTAATACACTGGTAACAAAACGCATGACCACATGGAGTGATAGTACAATCTACTATATCGTCATAACAAATACAACACGTATTATTCATCTAATACTATTTTTTAGTTCTTTTTAATTTAATAAAAATTTTGTTGCAATTTAGTAATAATTTCAATAAAAACAAACAACAAATCAAAAATGAAACAAAGTAAGTAGAAATGATAGAAACAATAAAAGAAAGTCC